TTTGTCAGAGAGAGAGCACAAGCAGGGGGAGTGGCAGGCAGAGGCAGAGGGAGAAGCAGGCTCCCCGCTGAGCAGGGGGCCCAATGCGAGGCTCAGTCCCAGGACCCCGGGATCATGACCTGAGCTGAAGGGAGACCCTCAACCGTCTGAGCCACCCAGGCGTCCAGTTAGGAACTTTCAATGATAAATAGTTTTAAACACTATTTTTAGGTTAAACTTTACCATGGAACAGAGGAGAAACTTAGTATGAGAGTTCAAAATAAAATTAAGCCTTCCAGAAAATTTTGAGCTCTGCCCCTGGGTCTTTGGAATACCAGACAGTCTCCTCCACCTTTGGAAGTATTTGGGTGTGGAAATTTGAGACCTGCTCCAAGGAGTGAAGAAGAGTTTCTGAGGGGAGGAATGGTAGTGAACCCCCCCCCCCCCCGCCCCCCGGCCAAATGTTTTCCAGAAACTCACCAGTTAGAGATCAGATCTCATTTTGCTTTGTGGTTTGTGGTTTGTCCTCATGCCCTGTCTCCCAGCTGCCCCCCGGAGCTGGGGCTCTCAGTGACTGTGCCTCTCCCCATTTCCTCCCCTGCACCCCAGGGCCCTCAACGCCCCCATCTGACCTGCGTCTGAGCCCCCTGACGCCGTCCACCGTTCGGCTGCACTGGTGCCCCCCCACCGAGCCCAATGGAGAGATCGTGGAGTATCTCATCCTATATAGCAGCAACCACACCCAGCCTGAACACCAGTGGACCCTGCTCACCACGGAGGGTGAGGGCTCCCACCCCAGGGCATCTGAGCGAGAGTTTCCCCACCCTCTCTCCCTTTTCCAACCACTCCAGTGGCTGGGTTAGTGGTGAGAGTGTGGCTGAGGTTTGTTCCACGGGTTTCTAGAAGAAGCAGGCAGAAGCTAGTGCTCGAGTGGGAGAGCATACCTTCTTAGTCCCGTTTTCCAGGCTACCCCTGCATCCCGCACCCCCCCCAACCCTCCAACCCTGCTTTCCTTGCTTCCCCCTGCCCCCAGGAAACATCTTCAGTGCTGAGGTACATGGCCTCGAGAGCGACACTAGGTACTTCTTCAAGATGGGGGCGCGCACAGAGGTGGGGCCTGGGCCCTTCTCTGGCCTGCAGGATGTGATCACTCTCCAGGAGAAGCTCTCAGGTATGAGGGCAGGGAGGGAGGAGTAGGTCCACCCTAGGACAGCCTGAGGTCTTCTGAGGCCCCTGGAGTTGACCTCTAATGCTAAAGTCATCTCTTCCAGGGCCCTGCCCCCAGGTACAACTACCCTTTCATTGTTTTGGACAGCTGGCTTTGTAGTTTGGTGGGGAGGGGACAGATTTGAAGGGGAAATGGATGTAGTTCAGTAGTGATTCAGTCAAGAGGTCAGATTTATGGGAGACTGGCTTGGTTCTTTGGGAGACTGCTTTGATTGGAGGATCGGCTTGGAGAGGTGACAAGCTTTATGGGGTGGGAGAGGGCAGCAGGACTGGCTATGTGATTTGCAGGGCCAAGTGTGAAATGAAAACGTGGGACCCTCATTAAAAAATTAGAATTGCAAGATGGTGATAGCAGAACCTTCAACCAAGCATGGCGTCCTTCTGAGTGTGGGCCCCGTGCGACCGCTCTTGTTGCACACCCACGGAACCAACCCTAGTGTGTTTCACTGAGAGGCCAGGGTGACAGAGAGAGATCAGAACTTCAGATGTCCAGTGGGGAGGACAGTCAGAGAGAGAGGTGGTGGTGGACCCCTTCTTGCAGCAGCAGATTTTTGTGTCCAGAGGGTGAGACCAGTGGTCTCCTGAGGAAGCCACAGAAATCCTGATCTATGAACCCTGGACCTTGTCCTGGCCTTGACCTGTTCTGTCCCCTCTCTGTCCCCCGCCAGACTCCTTGGACGTGCACTCAGTCACAGGCATCATTGTGGGTGTCTGCCTGGGCCTCCTCTGCCTCCTGGCCTGCATGTGTGCCGGCCTGCGCCGCAGCCCCCACAGGTGGGTGAAGGGGCCAGTCTGCCTGCAGAGAGGAGAGGTTTCCAGAAGGGCAGCAGAGATGAGAGGGCAGGGAAAGTGGCCACGACTTGCCCGAGGTTCCCCCAGAGGCCCCACTGAAACTAAGACTCTGGGGTGAAGGGATTGGGGGTGATGTCCTCATGAGAATGGGGAGGGGGTTTAGGGGAGCCCCAGCCTACCTCTTCAGCAAGGGCGAGCATAGACAGAGCTGCCTCTTCTGCCTCTGTAGCCGCCAGCATCTTGGAAAGAGGGACCCCAAATCTCTAGATACTTGGAGCTGGGGGGAGGGGAGGAGGAAAGGTCCCATTTGCAACGACATGGCTGTTTTGTTTTGTTTTTTTAAGATTTTATTTATTTATTTGACAGAGAGAGACACAGAGAGAGAGGGAACACAAGCAGGGGGAGTGGGAGAGGGAGAAGCAGGCTTCCCGCTGAGCAGGGAGCCCAACGCCGTGGGGCTCGATCCCAGGACCCTGGGATCATGACCTGAGCCAAGGGCAGATGCTTAACGACTGAGCCACCCAGGTGCCCCTGTCATGGCTGTTTTGAACGTAGTTTCTTAATCATTACCCATACAGGGAAACCAAATTCCAGAACAGGAACCTACCCAAGAACATAGGCAGGACTAGACCCCAGGCCTGCCGCCGCCCCTCACTTTCTGAACACTGTGCCTGATTCTCTGTCCTCCCTTCCAGGGACGCCCTCCCAGGCCTGTCCTCCACGGCCAATGCTGGGAACCCCGCACTGTACTCTCGAGCCCGCCTTGGCCCCCCTGGTCCCCCAGCTGCCCATGAACTGGAGTCCCTTGTGCACCCCCGTCCCGAGGACTGGTCTCCACCGCCCTCAGACATCGAGGACAGGGCTGAAGTGCACAGCCTGATGGGGGGCGGTGCTTCCGACTGCCGGGGTCACTCCAAGAGAAAGGTAAGCCTGGAGCCTGGGTAGGTCAGAGCCCCACACTACAGCTCGTTCCCAAAAGGACACCAGGGGGCGCGAGAGCACAATGTGTGACCCCTGGGAGAAACTCCTCCGCCCTCCCCTTCCTTTTCCCAGGGCCAGCTGCAGAAGAAAAGGCACTCTCTCTCTCTTTCCTCCCTGAAAAGGTTGGCAGGGTAGGGAAGCAGATGGGCCTCCAACCCTGGCAGAATAGGTCAGCCTGGTTCTCACGGAAGGAGGGAAAGGCCCCCAGTGGACTGTTTGCTGGTGACTCAGTGTGGCCACAACACCCTCCTCATCCTGGGAGCTGGAGAAACCTCTAAGACCCGGCCCTCCCCAATATGAAGACAAGAGGCTGGTCTGCTTGGCCATGACCAAGTGAGACCAGGACCTGGATAAGGTGGGCCCACGTAGGGCAGGTCCCTTCCATGCCAGCAGTGGTGGCTCGTCCTGCCCTTCTCTGAGGAGCCTGCCCAAACCCTTGGGTGCTTCCTCCCTCTTTCCCTGCCTTTGTGGTGAAGGAGACCGTGCCTGGCTTGGACACCTCTAGGCTTTGCCAGAGCCTGTGGTACTGGGCTTTTCTGCAGGAGGACTTCTCCATCCTCACATTCACCCCCAGACTCTTGGCCCCTCCCCACAGCCTTAGCCGGGAGGTGGCCAGGAGGCCAAGAGTCTCCATCTACTTCCCTCTCTTAGGCTGCCCTCTCCCAGCCAAGCCCTCAGTGCTCCCATGTCTTTCTCCCCTCACAGATCTCTTGGGCTCAGCCAGGGGGGCCAAGCTGGGCAGGTTCCTGGGCAGGCTGTGAGCTGCCCCAAGCAGGTGCCATGCCTTCTCTGACCCGGGCTCTGCTGCCCCCTGCTGGAACGGGGCAGACACTGTTGCTGCAGGCTCTGGTGTATGAGGCCATAAAGGTCAGTGTCCTGGGAAGGCGGGGAGAGGAAAGGAGAGAAGGAGCTCTGTGCTTGTGAAGAGCAAAGAGTGACTTTTCTGGTGACCCCTGGTGGTAACTTCCATGGGGATGGAAGTCTAGTTAGGAGGCCCCTGGAGTCTCTAAAGGTGGGTGCGTGGAGGGCAGGCAGTTTGCAGCAATCTGTCTCACTTGGGTTAAAGACAGTCGCTCCTCTCCTGATGGCCTAAGTGGGCCCCAGCAGTATTACCATGGAGCTGAGCGTGGGCCTAGGCTGAGTGCGTTCTGCCCTTCCTCCTGCGCGCTGAGGCTCTGACTAAATCTGGTACTTTTGGAACTCTGGGCAAGGGCAGATGGGTAGTATTCCATTCTCCCTTGCCTTCACATGGGCCTGATCATCATCTCTTGTAGGACAGTCGTTGTGCTCCGGGGCTTGGGGGAGGGGGTCAGTCCTTCTCTGCCCCAAGTATGTTGGTCATTCTTTTTTTTTTTTTTTTTTTTAAGATTTGTTTATTTATTTGAGAGAGAGAGTGGGTGGGGGCAGAGGGAGAGAATCTTTAAGCAGACTCCCCACTGAGCACAGAGCCGAAAGCCAGGTCAATCCCAGGACCCATGAGATCATGACCTGAGCCAAAACCAAGAGTTGGACTGAGCCACCCAGGCACCCCTGTTGGTCATTCTTCTGATGATCACTCTCAGCGATGGTCACCTTGTCTTTACGTTCTCTGCTCTGACCAGGGCAATGGCAGGAAGAAGCCGCCCCCAGCCTGCAGGAATCAGGTGGAGGCTGAAGTCATTGTCCACTCTGACTTTAGCGCATCCAAAGGGAACCCTGACCTCCACCTCCAAGACCTGGAACCTGAGGATCCCCTGCCTCCGGAGGCTCCTGACCTCACTTCAGGAGTCGTGGATCTAGGGCAAGGGGTAGACTGGCTGGACAGGGAGCTGGGGGGGTGTGAGCAGGCAACCCCTGGGCCAGACAGACTCACCTGCCTGCCAGAGGCAGCCAGCGCTTCTTACCCGTACCCAGACCTCCAGCCCAGTGAGGCTCTGGAGGAGGCCCCCGGGAATAGCTGCCAGCCAAAGGCCCCCTGCCCTCTAGGAACCAGCCCAGGCCTGCCCAGGGCCCCAGTCCCCTCCTCTGCCTAGCTCCCCTAGAGGGTGCAGTTTGGGGCAGGCTAGTATGGATCATGGGACATGGCACCCGTGCACCTGCAGTTCCTGAACATCGTCACGCCGTCTGGAGCCTCCCAGGGTGCTGTGGCTGAGGGGCAAAGAAGAAATGGAGTATCCACTTGCCCCCCCCCCCACCCTGTGGCACATGTCCTGTGGGAGGGACCTGGGAGGCACGGCTATATGGGATGTGCACATGTGCGTGTGCTAGCTGCTGAGCTGGGAGATTCTGGCCTGGTGGTAGTCCCTGTGGCCTAATTGATCCTCCAGGTCAGGACAGTGCCTCAGAGTGGTCAGTCCCCAGCCCTGTGGGTGCCCCCCCATCACCCAGCCATTTATTACACACTCTGAGAGTGTTTGCAATGCCCTGTCTGACAAAGACAGCCCCGGCCCATTTTCCCTTCTGGCTGGGCTGAGTGCAGGAGGCTCTGAACGCCTAGGGTCTTCGTTGCGTCACTACCCATGACCCGCATCCCTGTTGCCCAAACTGAGAGGGTGACTCTGGCCCTCCTCAGAGCAGCTCTGCATTTCATTTGTCATTTGGGAAGTGCCTGGTTTTGGAAATCTGCTTGCCCTGGCTCTCCTGTCCTCTCTTCCCCTTCACTACTCTTGGGCTGTGTCTCCGGTCAGCGCCCGGGCCCCCAGTTCTCCCCAGTTCTCCTGCCCCGTGCTTCCTCCCAGATACGCTTTCCTTTCCTCTGTCTCCTGTCTGTCCCTGCTGTCTCCCACACCTCTCCCGGACCACCTGCCTGGGCTCAATCTCTGCATCCTTCCCTAACAACATGACTACCTCATGTCTGCTTTGAGGCCATAGCGTGACTTCTGTGTCCGCCATTCACTTCCCCGGCCATCGTCCTGCCTCTCTTCTCCCTGTGCCGCCATGTGCCCCCTCCCCAGGCAGACACCCCCAGTGCCCCCAGTGTGAGTTTGGAGACGATCTTCCAGTTTCCCTTGCATCTTTCTCCCTGGATTGAGGTAGGAGGACTCTCCTTGGAGTTGGAGGATCCAGGTCACACAGGGGGACTTCTGAGACAGGGAAAGGGGCAGGGAGGCAGGGTTGCTGGATGGAGGGGGTTTGGGACCTTCCTTCCCAGCTGAAGCCAAATGGGGAGAAGGAGAGTGGGGATTAAGGGCACCCCAGCCGAGCAGCTTCCCTCCCACTCTGCACCCCTGGAACGGGAGCTGATGGATGGGGGTGAGAGGAGTTTCACCCTCTGGGGGCTGACACTGAGGCCTTTGCACAGGACAAGGGTGATTGGCTCATTTCATTTTGTTGGTTTGTTGTTGTTGTTGTTGTTTTCTTTAAATTCAATCCTAAAGTCATTTTCTGTTGACCTGTCACACAGGGACAAGCTGGGCTTCTATTTCCCGTGTAGACAAGACAAGGCCATTCATTTGATTTTGCACCCCAGCCTCTCCTCGGAGCGTAGGATGTGGGGGCTTTTCTCCCTAAATGCATCTTTTTAACGATCGGCACATCAAGGGTTAACTCCGGCTTCTGGGCCAAATTAGAAATAACCAGTCTATCTTTCCCTTTTCTTTCTTTCTTTTTTTTTTTTTTTAAATGGTGACACGTCTCTCAAGCAGAGTTGCAGCTCCCTCAGACCCTTTCAGCATCTGTGTTTATTACACTCGGGTGTCACTCCCGACTGACATCCGCACCTACATTTCCTTCCCTCCCCTGCTTCAGCCAGCCTGTGATAGAGCTGCAGATTATTCATGCTGGTTTGTAGCTCGAAGACGGAATTGTCACTTGTACCCTTTCTGTGACATCCAGCGTCACCGTGGCCGCCACCACCGTGTGTTTCGCCACTGCTCTGAAGGTCAAAAGCCTCGTTTTATTTTGCTGGTTTGATTCCCCCACCACCCCCCAAAAGGAAAAAAAAAAACTGCCCTGAATCAAATGGCTGTTTTAACAGTAGGCTCTTAGCATTACACCACATAGTCATTTTTCATGTTCTTGTTTAACAGGCACCGAGGTTCTGGTTTAAATTAAATAGCTGCAAATGAGACAATTTATAACCCATTAGGTTGGGTGGAAAATTGTTTCTCAAAAGCAAATAAGTAATAAATCTGGTATCTGCCTATAACTCACAGTTGATAAGAAAGTGGCCATTACTCACTAGCATTATGTATGATTTGGGCTCTGGGTAATTTGGAAGTGTTAGGTTTGTGTCTTTGTAGCAGTATTTTTATTAGAAAAGAGTCTATTGGCCTTTTACAGGGTATTAATCCCTTTGTCACCTACCATCGATGCCTTACGTTTTTTGAGTCTCATTTAGAAACCTTCCTTTTCTTGATGCATGACAAGTGTAATCGGTACCTGCTCATTTATTTGTCTGTATTTAGTTTATGCTATATTATTTAATTCTTTTCCCAGCATTTTTTTCCTCCTCACCAATATATTCTTTAGTGTTAAGCCAAGGCATTGATCATGTATCTGTCCCTATAATGAATTAATAAACTATTTTCCAAAAACGTGGAATGACTAGAATTTCCTCAGCCTTTCTGTCCCAGAGAATGTGTTTCTTGCCAGGATGGGAAATGTTAGGTTTTTGAGGGTAGAGAGCCAGTGGTCATGGAAAAGAACCAGACCATCCTTCTCCCTCAGCAGGCACTTAGGAAAAAGACTTAAACTTAGGAAAGATGCTTTCTTTGATGGCACTCTTTTAGCTTCCTGGGGAATCTCTTTCCACCTGGGCACACATTTTTTTTTTTTAACTTTCTTGGGTGCAAAGGAGAAACGAACAAGCAACTCCAGAGATTTGGGCTTAACAATTATTCTTCTATGTAACTCTGCTCTCCAGAGCTGCTCGTGGCTGCATATTCACACATATGGACACTGTGCCTACAAGCTTAGAGACCCATGCACGCACACTCATCTTCATAAACACCCTTGGATCCATTAACTCAAACATACACGCAAAACTCCACACCCACACCCCTCATGCATCTCAGGATGATGGTTGGCAGATGCTCTGCTAAGATCTTTACAGAGCCTGGTCGGTGCATGCTTTTCTACTGAGGGAACCAAGAGCCAGAGGCTGCCCTGCCCGGGACCACCCCTAAAGTGGCTGATGGGCCAGACCCGTGTTAATTGACAGATCATAGGGAGAGATACTGCACATTTTGCATGCAGCAGAATAACCATTATTTGCATATCACTCTCAGACCAAGGGCTGTGATAAAGAAGAATTAAACACTTGTCAAAATGAATTTAAAATGACAGCAACTCAGGACACCAATATGACCTCTCTTGAGTCTAGGACAAGGCAAGAAGGGGTTGTTGAGAATTCAAGCCCTGCAGGAGGGAAGTCCAGGACTTTGGGCCCAGGCAGCATCCCCCCCCCTTTCCTATGGCCAGTGGAGGCCCATCACTCCTGCCCTTCCTCACAGTGAAATTGGTTTGGGGTTTGGGTGTGTCCCCTGACCTTGAATTTCTCCACTTCCTCCCATTGCTCACTCATATGCCTCAAGTCCTGCCTCCTAGACTCATCTTTCAATTGCTACTGAAGAGTAAGGAGTCCCTGGGCTGCGCAAACCCCATCATTAGTAAACTTACCTGATCTCTGGAGGCCTGCACTTTTTTACTCATCTGCACCAAAGTTAGGTTTATATGGTTAACACTCCTGATTCCAAGATTCCAGAGTTGGTATCAAAAGGGAGACCTAGTTATTCCTCTGTCATCCCAGTCCAATGCCAGAGGAAGAAATAGCTGAGCGAGGCAAAGACTACCGTCTTTAAATCTCCTGCTCTTAGAACTTAGTAGATGGACTAATTCCTCATGCTGGACTCACCAGAAGATCATTTAATAATGACTGGCTCACCGTCAAGAATCTAAAGATTCAAGATCTCTGAGGGTTAGCATGAGTATGTATCTCCTGAGAGGTAATACATGCCTATCTTCCCTAAAATTCGTGCACTCCTTGTCTCATGTGTTCTCTGACATGAAACATCGAGAATCTTCTTTGTGACATAGAAATGTTATTGAGAGTTTTGACTTTGCTTTTCCAGTTACCAGGTCATTTGTTAGGACCCCTGTGCTTTAAATATCCCTAGCGGTGAGCAGGAGAGAGAGGATTATCTCTATCTTTCAGATAAGCTCAGAGAGTGACTGCCTGGGTTGGCTGGACTAGACAGCAGGCAGAACAGGGGTCGGAACCCAGGTTACTTTTGCGTTCTCATTGGCCTGTTGGGTCGGCTATCCCAGGGCCCTGGGGGGGAAGCTGCATTCCTACCCCTTCTACCTCCGGTCCACTCAATGCCAGAACTCTGTAGTCTAGAGAGACCGGTCATGCAGCTAAACGTCCTAGCCTTTGGGTGGCAGGACCAGAAACCATGGAAAACCGAACCTTTGACAAGTTTGTGAAGCTTTTAGGGGATTATCTCGAAAATACACACTTGGACACGGTGGAGGAGGGTGCAGCAGAAAGAGTGGGTCAGAGCGTGTTTCTCCGCAGCCGGGACCCACTTGACAGTCTGCTGGGTCTCCACTTCCCCAGCCCCCCAAGTCCGGGGCTGGCCCGCGGGCAGGGGGTACGAGGCAGCAGCCCGGGACGGCGCCGGCCGCTCCAGCCACAGTTCAAAGCGCAGGGGGTGCGTCCGCCGCGCAGCCGGGAATGTCCGGCCGCTTAAAGCGCTCGCCGGCTCTTTTGTTCCCCAGACCGGGCCTCCGGGGAGAGGGGC